ATGAGTTTCTTCTTTTTATTGTTGAGTTATTAATTTTTGCAAGTTGAAGAAATTTTTGCTCTTTATTACGATGTATTATTCTTTGTTCCACGAATATAAATAGACTTTTGGATATCGACGAGTTTCTTCTTTTTATTGTTGAGTTATTAATTTTTGGAAATTAAAGAAATTCTCTATATCAAACATACAAGATAATTTGAAGCTTCTCTTCTTCTTTGCGATGTATTCTATTCTTTGTCCAGAATGTAACGGGTTTTTGGAACTCGTGGATTGGACTTTGATGAGATTTGACGCGATTGCTTTTCTTTTTCTTCTTTTCTGCGATGCACCATTCTTTCTTCTGGAATACAGCTCTTGGAATTCGTGAAATGGATTTTGACGAGGTTATCCTTCGTTCTTCTCTTTAGCAATTCCAATTAGCAGCGCGTTTGGAAGAAGTCGAAGAAGTTGTTTCACGAGGAGGAAGGTGTAGATTGAGATCGATAATTGCACCCTGGTCTGCTTAACATGGAAATTTGTTTCTTTTTTTTTTTTAATGATGGAAATGAGGTATTTTTGGAGAGTATTCCGAAAATGATACGTTCGAACGATAGAGAATTCGCTCTATCGTTTGAAATTGCGCAATTTTATATTTGCAAATGGGGTTAGGATTAAGCAATATATCACGAGCAATTAGTTTGACAACAAGGTTGGTTAGGATAAATGAAGTATTATGCATAATTTTCTCTTTTGTTACAGACACATTCGAGGGTGAAAAGATCAAGATCCTAGATTAGACCGTGACTTCATAGCTATTAGCGATACAATAGGTTTGAAGAAACCCTACTCGATTCCATTTAAACTATAACGACCCCGTTAAATCTTCCATTGCAACGATCGCATATACGTATACACTCAACACGGGAAGCGTATCTTTTTATCCGAAGAAAGCAAAAGACCCGTGGTCGCGTGTGTTACCAGGCCACTGGTTGTGTTTTCATACCCGCCAACCACTGTATCTTATCAAAGGCCTCGCGCTGCCTTACCGTTTCTTCCGTTTTCGATAAACAGAAATTATTCTCGTCCAACGGCCAAACCTCCCCCCTCCCTCTCTCGCACCATTCTTCTAAAACCTCATTCAATTTAAACGATAAACGTCCCTCTTTCATTTATCTATCTCAGATCGTAACCAAATATATATACTATATTATATTCTATATAATAGAATATATGATAGAACGAGAAAGAAGGCTGAAAGGGAGGGGGGAAAGAAGTGGACGAAAGCGAAGTTGGCGCGAAGGTTACGGCGTCGAGGAACTTAGGATGGCGCGCCGCGATAAAAATCGCGTTTCCTCGGGGATATCTGCACAGCTGGATTTGCATGGGTATAAGCTCTTCCAACGGCGTACCGCCGAAAGTCCATTAAGTATGTATGGCGTGCAGGCACGGTAAGTCTCCCATAAGCACCTTTGTCTCTACGCGGACAGGTACGCACACGCGGCCGGCCGCGCGTGTGCGTGCCAGCCACGCACGAACACGTGCGCGCCGGAAATTTGCATACCGGCGCGCGGTAACGAACGTACAAAGTATCGTCGTCGTTTCTCGTCGAGGCTGGCCAGAGAAACATCGGCTCTCGTTTCCACCTTCTCCTTAAATGGTTCTCGCGAATTTGACACGCG